AGAAAAGGTTAAGAGAAAAAAAATGTAAAAATAAAAAAGAGGTATACTCAATTTAGTATACTCAAATCAAACAATATTCATATGGCACTTTTCATACGTAAAGTTACAGAACGTGCTTCACAGAGGCTGACCCTGAGACAAAGAAAATCCCTTTTGGGGGCCATCCAGCCTGGAGCTGTCCATGGGACGGCACGCGTGTTGGTAGACCAGAACCATTAAATCATTAAAATAGGTTATAAAGGTATAATCAAATTAAATACTCTTTTGCTCATAAAATAAAGTTAATAAGTGATCGTTAAATAGTCAGAAAAAAACCAGACAAAAGGCAAGTTAAAGTTTAAGGCAGATAAGATAAAGATTAAATATGATTTAAAAAATAAAGGGTAAGAGCATAAAGATTTAAGAAATTAGTTAAAAGCCTGATTGAAAATATTAATCTTGAGTCTTTTTTAAAAAACATCACGAGTGTAGAGAATCTTTGACCTTCAATATATCATCACAAGTGAAGACCAGATTATAAGGTTAGACAATTTTAATACAGTCATTATGATCATCAGATACCTGATGGTCTTTGATCAGCTCCTCTCCACTCTCTCCAAGATACTCAACTAAGCAACGAATGATAATGTCCCTTCTGCCATCGACATGATGCTATTAAACCCAAAAAGAAAATTTATTGCAGAAAATACACAACATAACATATGTAACATACATACATAACAGCACATACAGATGTAAACAGAAAGTTACCCATGGAGAATGTAAGCCTGCAGCTACATTCTAACGTTGTGAAGTGTACAACTTAACATGAATTTCTCAACGATGTGTGTTAAGACAAGAGTCCAGTGCATGTCATAATCTGTGGGTCCAGAAACTGTCTCTGCCCAGTGAGGAAAGTTTTCTGCCTCATCACTGGACATGCAAATGAATTTTTTGCAACATATCAGTACCTCCTATCACAATATTAACCAGTCAACAAATCCTGCCACAGAGTGCGCCCCCAAATTATCTGCCACCACACTGACCACAGTCCCTTTAATGGCTTTCCCTAACACTGGAACAAAAAGACCATCTTTCTCCAAGCTTTGGATATCTGTTAACAGTGGCTCTAAAACTCGCTGGAATCCAAACTGCTTGGTGTCTTCAGCCTTACACAGAATTGCAAGGTAGATTGATGTCAATGTGGAACGTAATTGCACCGGAATGTTTCCCAACACCCAATAGACAGCTGTGACTTTGTGCTTTTTTCGAGATGTCCCAAGAGGATTACATACCTCAAAGTCATCAATGTACAGGATGAGACTCACTCTGTTCTCCTCTACAGAGAAAAACTTGTTGTTTTGATAGTGAGATCCATCACGAAATGTCTGGTACTTAAAGTCATTTTCAGTTTTTTTTTCACCTTCAAATGTGTTTTCTTGAAAAGACTTACTTAGGACCTGCACCAAGGAGGGCAATATTGGGACATACTGGAAGGTTTTGCCCCTTTTTTTTTATCAAGTATGTGTTCTTCTGGTTCAACAACTGAAAAATGCTTCTTCATAAATTCTCTTCTCTTGTAATAAGTTGTGAAAGGGCCACCTGTCCCCAAGGAAGTACTTATAGGGTGTGTCTCACAAAGATTTTTCACTAAATCTGAGATAATGGCTGGATCCAGATCACAGTTATGGCTTTTCAAGGTGGACACCACCACATCTCTTAAAAGTGGACCAGATGCAGAGGTGGATATAAACTGAAGCTCATCTACTATTTCATCAATGCATTTGTTTGGGACATTGAACATGCTTTCTAACTTTAAAAATAGATGGCCAAATTTCTCTTTTATATCTTGAGACAACTCCTGTGGTTCCCCATCCCAAAGCTCTAAGCTCTCTTCCACATAGGTCTCATCCTGAGCAAACATGGGTTCATTAGGTTTGCTTTTTAATACTTCAGTTTTAAAATCCTCAAGGGTGTGTGACTGGTGTTTTCTGTGTCTATGTGTAGCAAAGGTGGAATAAATATTTGTACTGAAGTTGCAGTCTTTGAAGACACATGCAACTACTTCAAACTTCCTTAAGTGGTTGTTAAGATGCTCAAAATACTGCTTCTCTGAATTAAAAAAAACAGAGCAGCAAAGTAGACAAGTAAATGAAAGAGGTCCACTTTGTGTGACCATCTTCACATGGTGTCGAGACAAATGGGTCTTAAGGGCATTAAATGTTTTAAACGAGCAAGGGCAATCAGTGTGAAGACAAGGGACTGACTGGCTGCAACCACCATTTCCATGCTTTAGTCTGTAGTGTTTTAACAATCCCAACCTCTTCTCTGACTCAAAGCTACATATCTTACACATCCATCTCATGTTGTGGCACCTTAAACAGACAAATTATGTGACAAGTTAAACCTAATCGTTACTAATTTGATCTTACCTTGTGGAGTTCAAATTAGCAGTCAGAAGGTCCTATGTTCTGTAAAAAAAAAAGAAAAAGAAAAAAAAAAGAAAAAAGGTTATCTATATGCTTTTCAACTAATTTCTACTAACTCAAGGATGCACACTGATATTATTATTATTTTTTTTTTTTTTTTTTCTTTTTTTTTTTTTTACATATGTTAGTTCGGTGGCAAATTTAAAACAGGTCAATATGAAGACTTGAGTGAAATCGAGTGCGTATATCGTTTTTTGTTTTGTTATTTTTCAAAATACACCTCATGGCAGCTGTGCAGCAATTATTTTAAACTGGACCGTGGTCGTTTTATTCACAAAGACGTTAGTTAAGGCAGCAGGCGTGTGTTGTTTAGGTGGCCATCTAAGCTGTAAAGTGCTGTGGGAAATTCTGGACATACCTCCTGCCAGGAAAGTTAGTCAGCAAGTCTAGCAGGAAAATACACTATTTGCTAGCGCAGCTTCTTTCAGTGCGGAGAAACTGACTTAAGTAGGTGAGCCAACAGGAACGTACAAAGTTTGTTCCGCTTAAAACTTACATTCATGGTTCTACTTCTTCCCATTTCCGTCAAGTCTGCCAACCGTCGAAATGTGAACCATGGTATGTCTGAAGAAAGACCGCTCAAATGTGGGGAGGGGCTTTGACGTCATGCTCCGAATGCAGAGAAGGTGGCCATATTCACTGATGTCACTCCATTACATTTTACTTGGAAATATCAACTAATTAAGCCAATGAATTGGTTTAGTGAATATTACTTGGATCGAATGATTCAATTTACATACAAAACTGAGGACACATAATTACAAACAATCCTCAAGTAATGCACTACAAGAAAAACTGCTATTTTAAAGTAATAGCACTGAATTTGTAATTTTTTGTAAAATTTATATAGCTAATTGAAATAATAATTACAGGGCCAAAAAAACATTTTTTTCAGTGTACCAACTATTGAATAGTACATTGCACTTGTACACTGTGCATTGCACAGACACATTCACAGACATGTTCAATGGTTGATCTGATTTTCTTGTACCAGTAAACAACTGCACAAGCTGAGAAGATTCTCCATTCTGCAGCTTGACTATGAAAATATCGCCATGGTTTTGCTAACCCAAAATTATTTTTTTTTTAACTTTCCAGTACTGCTGATTTAACAGGCAACAGGTACCAACCAGTAACTGGAGAAGTAACTATAGCCTTCCTTCTTTCACATTACTCCAATATATTCAGCTGAGGTAAGATTTTATTCAGATATGCAGTTTAGAAAACCACAAAACACTTGTTATACACAGTAAACACAGTAATCACAGTAAAAGAGCTGCTGTATATTTTTACAGTGGTAGCTGGATGACAGTAAGCTACTGTAAAAAAAAGTTTACGTTGATGTTGCAGTATTGTAATTTGCAGCATTATGTTCTTGTTAACAGTATTATTGCTATATTGTCATTTGTAGCATTATTACTGTGTTCTCATATACAGTATTGTTACTTTATTTTTTGTAAGGTATGGTTCATTTTTAAATAGTACGATACTTTAATACTATGTTTATTTTTCAAAGCTTTTTTAAAAGCCCTGATAGCTTATTAATGGTTTTTTAAACAAAAACAAAAAAGGGATATTACAATAGTAGACGGCCCTGAGAGGTCGAATGCGGTGCAACCAAAGAAAACACCACATAATAGCAAAACACACTGCAAAAGCATACAAAACACAATGTAAGGAGAAAGAAGAAGAAAGAAGAGAAAGAAATAAAACCTCACAAATTAATAAAAGGACACAACAGCTGTGGATTGTACTGAGACAAGCTGAAAAGGAGGCTTACTGTGTTCTTCTCCCCCACAACACCGATGAATCCTCTTCTTTTTTTCAGTGTGTGTCAGTGCAGCATGTTTTTTGTTTTGTGTGCTTTTGAAGTGCTTTTTCTGTTTGCTAGTGTTCTAAGGTTGCTCTGCATGGGCCACCATATAGAAGCAAAACTACAGTTCTAAAAAGGACACTTTATAATCCACAGAAAAGTTGGCACAGAGATGGAATTACACACAAAAACGGGTTTGTTCAGGTGTCCGTGCAGTTGTGGCATTGTGACTGTGCTACCTTCAACAACAGTAAGTTTTATTAGGAGTGGAAAGATATTTAATCTTAGGCAGATCAAGCTCGCCTCGGTGCAGGCTCTCACATTCAATTAGCAACTCTTATATAGGGAGCTTCTCTAACCTAGCCACAGCTACACAATCCAACTCTAAACCAGCTGCTTCCTTTATGCTATATCTGACTTAATCAGTGTCATATTTGTTTGCACTGATGGTCTGTTGATCTGTTCTTGCTGCTGCTGTGCAAAATCTCTGTGGTCCATCAACAGAAACCAATGTACAGTAGTTTGTAACAAAAATCTGAATTTCACTGCAGTGGTTGTGACTGAACTGTAAGTATTTTCCCCACCGCTCTTTATGCTTACCTGTAAAATCTGTACTATTGGACTGTTCTTTAGTCGGCAGTGGAATTAGTTACGTTTGTAACTCTAACTATATAGAAGAATTTTCCTTTTCTTTTCTTTCTTTCTTTTTTTTCAAACAGGCACTCAGGCTCAGAATGCTTGACTGACTCGTTTCAAAACAGACAACTGGACCTCTCTCAGGACATAAGAAAACAAGAAATCTGGCACACCGGCTTTACCTCTGGGCCAAACGGTACAAGAAACAGCATAAGCAGACTATCCTATTCATCAAGTTTTCATCCTGCTTTTAGTTGTATAAATACGTTCGTTTGACAGATGACTTTGCTAATTGCCTTTTCAAACTGCAGTAATCTCCTGGTGCAGTGGGTGAAAATTAAAAATGCAGTACCCTGAGTATTGTTTTTTCATGTCTAAGCCTGCATTTATCTACGTGAAATTAATTCTCTAATTTGTTTGTGAGATAAACAGGGAATACTTGAGATCCCAATCCACTTAAAGCACCTCCTCCGCTGCTTTACATATCCGTTCTGAAATGCTGATTTGTCCCTAAAGACTCCACCCGGCGGTCCTGCTAGTCATTACCGCCGAAATGAAGAGCAAACCTCGACTCTTTTGAAGGGCACTGTGAAGTCTTTTCAAAGTGTCACCTTAAAGACAGTGTCAAAGCACTCTGCCTTCTCCTGGGCTGAATAAATGAAAGCCACATTAGAAAGAGCTGTTTGGTGTTAGATGCTGGGAAATCACACTTGAACTGCCGTGTGGCCTACACTGCTAATGCCTACGATTCTGTATGGAGGCAGGTGATGACACGCTTGTCCAAACACACAAATCATAAAGAAACTGAAAGCAGTCAGGCATGCCACTGTCGTGGGACTATCCCCATCAGATGCATTACTAGCTTTCAGTCCTTCAAAAAGTTACTATAAAATACGGTCACAGAGTCACAAAGCAGAGATCCATTTCATTTTAGAAGCCCATGTTTCCATTTTCAAGGCTATTTCAAAATAGCTTTTATTTGTACATTAGCTGTGTTATGAAACCAATCTGTGGTTTTAAATTTCAAATATCAAGTGCTTGGATGACAGCAATGATACTTTTTTCAAAATGTTTCATTCAGAAATTATTCAAAGCTTGTGAGCGGTGTCTTTTGGCTTGTAATAAATACTTCCATTTTACTGAACTGTCTACAGAAAGGAAGATTTCAGCTAAAATCACATTAGCACCATTACAAAAGCTGCTTTTGCAGAGCGCCTAGCTCTCCTGGGTCAGATTCATTGTGTGGCTCTGTATAATTCATAAAGTATATAAATGAATGGCTAAATGCACAGGCAATAGCACACAAGTGAGAGGCTTTATCCTTCACTAGCTTTTAGACCAATGTTCAACAAGTCAAAAGAAAAAAAAATCAATCCCTTGAAGAAACTGTGCAAATACAAAACTGTATTATTTCTTCCTTGCTGCTTACATCTTGTGATCAGTGCAACGGTTTGTTTTACTATGGGATTAAACACATCTTTACCTGATTTCGACTTGTAGCTGATATCATTCACATTTAATATCTTACATACAGCATCCATGATATTGCACTTGTATAATATGCTAAGGACCCTAAATTTCATATCAAGCTCGGGAAACATGTTTTTTCTGCTGAATCCAAATGCACTTAACGACCAGGCTTTCTCCACACCTTTTCTTTCCACCTCACTGCATAAATGTCACACTCCTTTTTGCATTAACACTGAATCATGGCAGTAAATCGAAATAATATGCAGTCCAATAAGGACTTCCTGGGGATAATCCTTATTCCTGTGGATGCAGAGTTTTTGTGCCCTTGGTGTCATACCAGTAATTTAGTTTTGTACCAAAGGCATGCTCAACCCTTTCCAGATCAGAAGGTTTTAAAAAGGATTTTAGTGTCAAGATTGTTCTGAGCTCAAAGAAGCTGCTCTTGACAACAATTGTTTTTAAAGTGGTAACATTTCATATTGTTGATGCGTCTTCTTTTGCTTTTCATAAAAAGAGTTTAAAAGCACAGGGTATTGTTTAATCTCTCAACTAACAGTGGGAAGTCAAAAAAATGAAAATGCACTTATTGACCCTTCATATGGAAAAGTGATTTCCAGGTAAATACAGTTTTAAATCATCTGCATAGAAATGAAAAGATACGGTATAATAATTTGACTTAAACTAAGCATGCACAAAGAAAAAGGCTAATTTCTAATGACACTTGGAACTTTCCTCCAGCTGTGTTCACCTCTCCTCTCTTTCCTGACAACCCTAACAGATTCATTAAGCCAGGGATAAGATTTAAATCTCACTCTGAGTGGTGGAGCCTAATCGAAAGCACAAGTACAGAACGCATGAAAAGAAACACTGAGTTCTTGAACACCCAGATTGTGAGCAGCAGAGGAAAGAGCTGTAGTGTTGTAGTGTATCTGTGGAAGAGCTGAACCTCCTACAGTTGTAGGGACCAAAGGTTGAAAACATACAAGTGAGTTAAAACATTATCCACAATTACAGGATGATCTATGTTATAAAACCACATGACAAAACAAGATCAAGGTTAACAGACTTGAATGAGATTAAAAGATTCCCACAGTTGGTTTAGGTGAGTGTTAGTGCTGCAAACACGTGTCCCCCAAAGTGAATCTGCAGTCATACATTCCGTCATAGCAGACAGGTCTGGGCCGGATCTGGTGTCAACCCGGCACTGCTGGCTGACTTCTGGCATGGTAAGAGGTGTGTCATCCAGATATGGGCCAGGCCTGGCTTAGATGGCACTGTTTATGTGACGGCATGCCATATCTGGCCCGATTGTGGATTGGTTTATGTGGCCTAGGCTCATAGAAAACAGGTCTACCCTGGATCTGGCATCAAGCTGGCACTTCTGACTGACTGGTGTCATGGAAGGGTGTCTGTCAACCAGATGTGGGCCAGGTCTGGCAATGGAGGCACTATTTATGTTCCTATTTTTCTATTTTAGTTAGAAGACCCAAATGCCATGTTGCAATACTATACGGCTGTGGTAGCCAATGTTTCAAATGCAAGTTTGACAGGTTTGTGAGTGTACACTTTATCCAAAACCTAGTGAGGATTTACTCATGTTTTCCACTGGGTGGCTGTAGCTGAGGCGGTAGAGCAGATCACCTACTGATCTGAATAGTAGTAGTTCGATCCCTGGCTTCCCCAGTCTGCATGTCAAGAGTATAAATGTAGTTAGGAAGCACTCAGTTTAGAGAAGGTGTGTGAATGTGGCATGTTGTATAGAGCACTTTGATTAAAATGGGAGAGTAGATAAAGGGGTGTATAAGATTCAGTCCATTCATTGTCTGAACAGAGCTTTGTCTTGTTCCTTATGCGCTATTATGTTCTTGCACATGTTGTTATTACATGGCTTGATTCAGGTACACATTAGGCTGACATCTGAGGCCAGAGCTGAAACTGTTCTGGGCCAGCAGTGTGTCTGCAACTGGCCTCGTGCTGGCAAATGTGTGGGCCACCACTAGGAAACCAGATCTGGTCCACCAAAGGGCCGTTATTGTTTGCGGGTCACGTGTAAGCACATTGCGTGGGCCAGATCCGGGCCGTACCAGTTTTGCTATGTGGGTTACTGTTACTGAGGACAGAAGGTCTGAAAATTAATGTCATGAAGTTTGACCATGTGCACTAATGACTGTTAATGAATGTTAATGATGAAAAGTTTAAACATTGATTTCAAGGAGATGAATGGCTATCCCTCCCTGAGCCCGGTTCTGCTGGAGGTTTCTTCCTGTTATAAGGGAGTTTATCCTTCTCACTGTTGCCAAAGTGCTTCCTAATTGTTGGAGTTTTTTCTTTGTTTTCTCTGTCTTTCTTGTTCTTTAACTTACAATATAAAGCACCTTGAGGCAACTGCTTTGGTGATTTGGTGTTATACAAATAAAATTGAATTGAAATGAATCCAGTCCTGAAGTTTTATTCTCACACGAAATTCCACATGCCCTTTTCCACATCTATTTACCAGAAAAAGAAACCGTATGTTTCTGTACCTTTAAGAAGTCGCTAGACTGTTCCTGAAGCCCATTATGGTGTCAAACAAAACAGCACTTGTTACTGTGTGCCAATTGTTCCATTAGGCACTTTTTTTTTAGGCACCCACCAAAGATAGTAAAATCCCAAGAAATACCAAGGATTAAACCAAAAACCAAAAACAAACAAATAAAAATGGAAATATTTTGATATGGAAAAAAACAAACAAACTGTGCATGACTGTTAACAACCAAATTCTTACACTATGCAAGTGGTGAAATAGTAAAGCTATTATAAAAATAAGTTGATAATTTCCACACCAAAGCAAATTTGTTTAGGTTTAGTGATGTATATATCAAAACTAATTGTGAGATTAATGTGTAGGCATTTAAGCACACTCAAACACTTGTGCATCTTTTGTGGGTTGGATAGCTCTCATAGCAAAGAAAGCTAATGGTATTGCCGAGGCCTAAAAGAGGGATTGAAATCAGGGATGCATTCTAGCCAGATGTTGAAAAGGTGCAATTTCTCTGTATTAACTCATTTAAACTCAATTGAAGTAGTATGTCAGAAAGTCCTCTGTTGTCTGTAACCTTTGAAAAATTTGCAACAGGAACTTCTCACACCCATAGTAATGGTGGAAGGCATAACATGCACGTGTTTAAGCATGAGCCCTGATCTGTGTGGATGACAGGAAGACAATAAGGCTTTGCAGTTGCTATGGACATTATTAGTCACACATGCTGCTTTTAAAACCGAACTCCAAGAATGAAAGGTTTTTGGCAATTACTCACCAACCTCTGATCTATTATCACCACCATGTGGACTAAAGGAGTGATGCTGATTTGCTCTAAGGCCGTGAAAACAGATGTTATGCCTTTGTGGTCAACGCAGCTATAAGAGACAGATATAAGATATGTTTATGTGGCCAAGTATATACAGAATCAAAGGAAACACAATCTGGATTTTGTCCACATTTAAGAAGAAGGACAGTTTCAATTAGCACTGCAGTAAATGCAGTTTCATGATAATTGAACTTCCCTGTATGAGCAACAGCAAACCTCCATTTAGTATTTGATCATGGTTATTCATAATAATTATGTGTGTCTTTAGACGTGCACAGAATATCTTTCATGTCAACATTCAAAGTAGACATGAAAACGCTCTCACTGATTTGATTGATATTAACTTTGTAAACACCACTTAGAGGGGCATTATGCTGCCTTCATAATCACAATATATGGACAACAATGTCTGTCAAGGACAACAAGCTATGAATTAACAGAAATTCCTTCCTACTACAAAACATGTTTCAGCATGCTATCATTTCTCCGTTTCATTCAGGCCAGCGGGAGGTGACTGTCAGAAGAAATGCCGGTCCCAGGTGCCCTAGTACATCACCACTGGGACCATGGCGACTCCTTGGCCAATGAGAAGAGAGAGGTGCTCCCATGGCTCCGCCTGCCTTGCTAGATGGTTGGCGTCATCCTTGATGCTCCTATGGTTGCCGTGGATGTTATTATGGCTGCCGTGGCCTACCCAAGCTGAACAGGTGGGCAGCGGGGGACATGGCGGAAAGGTGCCGCATGGATCCCTTTCGTCCCCCTCATCTTCGTCATCTTCCTCCTCCTCCACATCCCCTTCTGGCTCCTCACCATGGGGTTTTAGCACAAGGCAGAGCGGAGGGCAGCTGGACTGGCTGCTGTCAGAGAAGGGCCCTTTCCACAGGTGTCCTGAGTACACCGAGTTCAGAGAGAGGTTCCAGCAGGGATTTTCTACCAGATACAAGATTTACAGGTGAGAGGGATCTGCACTGGCTAGTGCATGGGGTTTTTTAGTGAGACCATTTTTCTCTGTCATATCATATAATATGTACAGACTCTCTTTGTCTTTTGTGCAGACAAATAGGTGTGACTTTGTCTTCTTCCTTCCTGCATCTTCATTTTTTAAAAATAATTCCTTTTTTTTATCTGCAAAGATTTTTGTATCTACCAGCTGTTCTTCTTTTACAGCTCTGTTAAATTACTTCAGCTTGCTGTTCAAATGTTCAAACTTCTTTAAAATGCTGTTCTAAAATGTAGCATGCTCTTGGCTGATGTACTGTGCAGGCAATCACTAGCTCTGTTTCTTCCTTGAAGTGCTCTTTAAGTGGACTATTTCAAAAGTGGATTTTATGTTTTTGTCATTTTATATTGACACAGAATCTTCTCTGCCCCTTTTTTCTATCCTTAGCACTTATCCATATGGTTAAAAAAGTGTTTCAGGGATGCTAGTGACAGAGGTCACCAGTCCATCACAGGGCTAACACGTTCACATTTTCATTCACATCATTTTGAACCAACAGTTAACCCAACACGCCTGTTTTTGAACTTTGCACATGCTCATATCTCTCTTCCTGTGAAAGAAGTGTAAAGTTATTTCACTTCTGCCAAAATTCTCAAAGAAGAAAGTGAAGAAGAAACGTTTGGTTTTTTTTGGATGTACATTTTTTCTTCAGCTGCCTAAGGGTTAGGTGATTGTGAATTTAAAATCCATTTTACTGTTAGCTAGTGCACATTTATGTGTTCTGATTCTCTTGAGATGACCAGTTGACCAGGGTCTTTGAAGGAAAATGTTTCTGGACAATTTTACCCCAGATGATCATGGAGAGATTTTGTTTTTATGTCAACACTCAGCACAAAGTTCATACTAAACAAAAGATTAAATAGCCAAATGCTGACTGAAAAAATGAAAGGGCATTAACCAATAAAACATATAATCACAATTCATGAACCACTTCAAAATGTCAAGTAAATGGGTGAAAATCAAACTATATTACTAGACTTTCCAGCATCTCTTTATTTTTCATAAAAGAACAGGATTGTGGCCAATAGAAAGTAAACAGAAAGAAAGAAACTTATACTTTTGAACACAGCTAATTATAGCAGATTCGAGTTCTTGCCTCCAGTTTAGACATTTAATTAGCTAATTAATGTCAAGTGAATGGTTTTGACACATTTTATGTCTTTATCTTGAGGGAAAGTTATTTTAAAGTAAGCCTAGAATGTTGCTGTGATATATTCAGTCTTTGCAAATTTATCGAAACAAAACATGCTCTTAGCTGAATCTGTTAAACAGTGACTAAACATGGATCAGAGGGAATGGATAATGCATTTTATCTGCCAGAATAAAGCAAGCGTTTTTTTAAAATACCGTCAATATAATATCTGAAGATATAAACGAGTAACAGTTCATTTTGACAGGTGGACACATTAAATGAAGCTATAAAAAATTCCCCTCTCACCCCTGTGGGCGGTATACCCTTCAAGCTCAGGTCCTCTACCAGAGGCCTGGGAGCTTGAGGGTCCTGTGCACTGCCTTTGCTGTTCCTAGGACTGCTCTCTTCTGCACAGAGATCTCGGATGTTGTTCCTGGGATCTGATAGAGCCACTCACCTAGCTTTGGGACTTTGCCTGTCTCTCTCATCATGGTCACTAAATGCACAGTAATGGCAGGTTTGTAATAAGACAGATCGTGCTAACATAATATGCACTGTTAGTTGATTATTTACCTGCCGCATTAACGGGAGAGGACGTGCAAACTTACCGCTGCTGCTGGGTTGAGATTCACGAGTCCGGAGCGGAATTAAAAACACGACATTCATCTAAGGTCATCGTGTGTTTTGTGAGCTTTTGCATATTCGTAGTGTTTCCTCCCTTAAATGAAATATCTACTTTGCAAGTATTGCAAGTTGCCCTGTTGTCGTCCGTTCTCGTAAAGTATAACCAAACTTTTGAGCGTTTGAGCCGCTTAGGCGCCGCGTTTCCTGTCAGGTAAATGACGCTCCGCAATGTGGCAACGTCATTCAGGGCGACTGGAATCGATAAGGGAATCGTTTGCCAAACAATTCCAAGGAAGTGAAACAGTGGGAACCGGTTCTCAACAAGAACCGGGTTTCGATATCCATCCCTAATCCTGTCTTTCAGGTTAGCTGCTCTCACACTCAATTTGTGTGTGTATATACTATATTTGGTGAAATAAGTAATTGATCCCTTACAAACCAGTTAGAATTCTGACTGTGTGGTACACAGATTGCAATTAATCAATCAATTACTGTGTGTGTGTGTGTGTGTGTGTGTGTGTGTGTGTGTGTTTTCTAGCCTTACAAACATTAGTGTAAGTGGAAAGATATTATGGCTTTCCTGACAGCCCAGTTAACAAACAGGAAGTGGTAAAATTATTTTTTAACATTTAAAATGTACTTCAGAAAGTCAGCCTCAAGAACTGCAGCATCAGAAATATTTCTAAAATAAATAAAACAGCAGAAACATGAGAAGGGAATGGTCTTCCCCATCCTCCAGTTTAACTGTTTCATGCAAGATTTACTGTCGGAAATAAGCCCAGATAGTCTAAATGAAAAAGTTACGATTGCAGCATGCACATGGACACCGCAATTTTACCAAGGCTTAGTGTGCCAGTTTTAAGGACTCATCGGTTGTATCTGTAGGATTCAGTCCTTACCCTTCTTAGGGTATATGTGTTTGTATTCAGGGTGGTTGTAGGTCAAAAGATAGAGCAAGTAATCTACTAATAGGAAGGTTTGAGGTTTGTTCCTTGCCTTCTCCAGTCTGCATTTCCAAAGTGTAAATTGATGTGTGAATGTTAGATCCATCCAGTCCATTTACCAGATGTCCCCTGTGTTTTTTTAATCTGAACTATTACATAAGTATGGTACAGTAATTGTATTGCATATATACATTTTTAGCTCTAGCCAAACATTACACTGCTCGGATCTCCTGCCAGCTTATTTGGTAACAATAGTAGTAAAATCAGAAGCTTAGCAACCACATATTTACTAGTCCCTTTTGCATAATTTGGGCTTTAAAATTCAGCCTGGTGGGCCACGTTTTTTTTGTTTGTTTTTTTTAACTCTCATCAGTAACCACTTGGTCTGAAGAGGTGAAGCCTAGAAGCTCTTCTCTGTAACACAAAGTAGCCTCAAAGCCTTTCTTTGGCAGTGTTTCTTTACATCCCTTTATGTTGTGTTCAGTAATGCTTGCAGCTGCATGAAGGTCATAAAGCTGAGCTGCGGGCAAAAGATTACAAAACGACCTTATCAGAATTTAGGGTTTAATATTTGTCTGAAGTATAAAAATGCCCACATTGGACAGACAGCCTCAGAACTGGATTGATATGATTAGGCCCAGAAGTATTTAAACAATTACACAGTTTTTGTAACTTTGCCTCTGTACAACGCCACAGTGAATTTTAAATCAAAGCGTGACTGAAGTGTAGACTTTCAGCTTTAATTCAAGGGTTTAACAAAAGTACTGCATGAACTGTTTACAGCCATTTTTAATTGGACGTTGGGTGACAAGCAGTTTCACGGCTAGGCGAGGCCTGTTTTCTCATTATCCTGTTTCAAATAAAGGAGATAAAAGATCAGTTCCAAACCTTGAACTTGCATTTGTTAGCTGTTTACTGGAGCTCTCAATTTCACTTTTCGTATTCTTCTTCCCCATCTTATTTGTCTCCTTCTTACTGCTCAGGGGTTGCCAAAGTGGATCATCTTTCTCCATGTCTCTCTATACCGAGGATATTCTTCTGTCACACCAGCCCTTTGCGTGTCTTCTTTAGGTTCTTTGTAAACAACTAGCCAAAATGATTCGACATTGTCTACAATGCACATACTTTGTACTGTTAACAGTCATTTCCTTAAAAAAAATAGACTAATGAGAAATTACAAATATAAACCCGAGCAGTAGAGTTAATGCTAAATAACCTAGCAATTACTAACTCAGCTTTTATTAGTCACTTGTTTTGCCACAATAATATGATGAAACACATAGTGGGGCAGCTGAAAGTAACATCCTTGTTACTTGTACCTGCTGTAAAGTGCATGCATGTGTCATTCTGCACAATGAAGGTGAAACATTAGCAAAAGAAGACTTTCTATCTTATTTGTCAGTGCTTCATTTGACAGCACTTTAGTTAAAAATGGCAGCACGGTGGCACGGTGGTTAGCACTGTTGCCGCACAGCAAGAAGGTCCCGAGTTCAATTCCACCATCAGGCCGGGGTCTTTCTGTGTGGAGTTTGCATGTTCTCCCCGTGTTTGCGTGGGTTCTCTCCGGGTACTCTGGCTTCCTCCCACCGTCCAAAGACATGCAGCTTGGGGGGATAGGTTAATTGGATAATCCAAATTGCCACTAGGTTTGAATGTGCGAGTGAATGTGAGTGTGAATGGTTGTCTGTCTCTGTGTGTTGGCCCTGCGACAGACTGGCGACCTGTCCAGGGTGTCCCTGCCTCTCGCCCTATGACAGCTGGGATAGGCTCCAGCGCCCCCCGCGACCCTGAAAAGGATAAGTGGAAGCGAATGGATGGATGGATGGATAGTTAAAAATGTTTTTGATGTTATTGATATCACATAATTGTACAGAAGAGGAAAATTCAGTCTTGTGTATAGGCTTCCTATTAAATTTCCTCTGACAATGAACGCGCATTTTGGGCCTGACGGTTTCCTTGCTGAGAGGAAATTGTATGCTAAGCCAGCAGGTTCTCACTATGTGCTCTATAAATGATGCAGTGCAGTCCTGTGCCAGGTCCAGAGTTCATATTGGCCCCTGTCACCATTATCATTATTCCAAATTTAATACCAAAATTGATAGATGCACACTGTGTCTGCTGAGGCTGCAATTTGAATTTCGATTTCCTCAACTTGGATTACATCTATATTTATATTCCGATTTTTTACTTTGCCTTGTCGTTTCCTTCCCCTCCGTTCCAGCTCTTTAAAAATAGATTCTCCAGCCATGAAA